TATATAAAAAGAATAGTAAAAAAAGAAAACTATTTAAACATCGGAACCTCGATCGGCAAATCAAGATTTTTTTATTTTTTTATGTATTTCTTTAGTTTTCTTTCATATATTTCTTAGGATTATTTATTTTATTATTTACTTATTTTTCTTCAGTTTTTTAGCGTATATAGTTTTTTCTTATTACTTTTAGTCATTTATTGTTGTTGTTTTTAGTTATTATTTATTTTTAGTGATATATAAATTTTTATACAGTAATATATTATTTGTTTTTATTTTCATTTTAGCCATTCATTATAAATGTTTTATTCTACCATGCATTATTATTATTATTATTTATTTTAATCTTAAGTTTTTATTTTTGTTTTGTTTTTAATGTTTGATGTAACTTGTTTTGTTTTGATTTTCTCAGTGTTTTTCTGTTTTTAGTTATTTACTTGGTCATAATATTTGCAATATATTTTGATTATTATATATTAACAACTATGATTATATTAATATATTTACTTAATCTTTATAACTTATTTAGCAGTCGTTTTTATGTCATCGTTAGTTGTTACGTTTTGTCAGTTTATTACTGTTTGTAGCTGTAACTTTGTATGTAAAAACGATTGCTGTATCGAAAGTAATACCGATTTATTTAAATTATTAGAATTACTTTATAATTATTGTCATCATTGGTGCTATTATTGTTATTATCATTATTTGTATTATTGTTATTATTGTTAGGAAAAATGTTTGAATAAAAATTTATTTTGGTTTGCAGGAAAGCTAAATGCGTTAATTATTATTTAACTTTATATCTATTTATAAAGTTTGAAAGTTTAAGAACTTAACGTTGCATTAATGTCATATCATGAGGTTTTATAAACCGTTATTTAAATCGCCTGTATTTAGGGGTCGTTCATAAAGTACGTACGCCAAAACTTAAGGAATTTCTTATCTAAAATTGAATCTCAGAGATAGTCGTAATTTACTTATTATTTTTAAAAATTTGTTTTAATAGCGAATCAAATAAAAATAAACTTTACTTTGGAGGGACGTTTTTTTTAGGCACCCCTCCTTAACAAGTCCGTAAAAAACGAGTCTTACACAAGATAAATAATATTGAAAAAAAGTCTGAAACCCGGTCTCAAAAAAGAGTTTGCCTTAAATACAAGTCTTACTCAGGGCCAGTGTATAAGGGGTGGCATGTGTGTGCGTAGAGGGGTACAATACTCTTGACTTTCCTATACCATAAATCCTTTTATGTTGGCAAACTAGGACCTTTAGTCGGAAAATTAATTTTTCTATTGGTTAGCTGGAGAGTTATGGACAACAATGATACAGTATGGTTTTTTTTTTTTTTAAATTTGTTAGTTATTAAAAAACATTTAGTTTTTTAATAACTAACTAAAAAGACAGAGTACTTTTTAATTGTGATAAATTTAAAAAACGAATATTACTAAGGAATTTGTTTTTAATTTGTGGTACGTACTTTTAAATTGAACCCCCCTCCCCTCCCCCTCTATAAGCGCACGTACTTTATGGACGAAACCATATTTAAGAATTACAAAAGTACATTTTATTGCAACAGTACATTTTATATAAATGTAATTTATAGATTTAAATTTAATATCTGTGAAAATGAGATTAGCGTGTGGGTGAGCTCATAAAAACTTATGCCTATAAGTGAGAAAGAGATCATGTGCTACGTTTTTGTTAAAGTAAATGAGTATTCTTTTAATCTAGCTATTGTATAGTTTTAACCTTTCAGCAGAACTTTGTTAATTTAGACTATATAACAAAAAATATGTCAGGTTTAAATTTTTTGTATTGATTATTTAAATATTCATCTTGATAAAATTTGTTTTGTTGATTAGATAAATATTTATCATGTATAGTTTTTTGACATTGATCATCACCGAGATTTAGCTGTTGCACTAAAATGTCTTATACTTTGGGCAGAAACAGGACAACAAAAATTGCTTACATTAAATGATATGCACATAAGATAGCACCTCATTCAATATCCAAAGATATAAAGTAAGACAATAAGCTATAGGTTATTGTTTATAGTTTACTAAAGTAATTAAATTTTACCTTTGATTCTCAACCAAAAAAAACTAAGAGTGTTTTAGCAACAAAAAATTTAACCTTAACAACAAAAAATGTAAAGCTAACTTTTTCCATAAAGCCAACTACAGAGCATTCTTAATGATTTAAAACTCAAAGTTATTGTATTTTAGTCAGAGAATATTGCTCTCTAGTTTGGTTGTTATACCAAACTAAATACATCAATAAAGTTGAATGTGTTCAAAAACATCTCACAAAGAAAATCAAAAGCTTTAGATACTTGACCTATTATAACCTACTGCCAAAGCCGGCAACACCAGGGGAGGGGGTCTTTTTTCTAAAGGATCTTTCTATTATATTATTTTTATAAGTTAAGCGCCAGTTTCATTGGCCATGACTACAGGCGCTCAATTTTACATTATCTAAAACATGATTTTGAAACACAATCTGGTTTGTACTGAACCTTTTTTTTTATTTGTGGTTGACAACAAAAACTACTTGGTCGTATTTTTGAAACATTGTTTTATAAATACGACCACACGTATTTATAAAACAATGATGACCATTGATACTTTAAAGGTTTTATTACAGAGTTATTAAAATCTTGAATAATTTGATCCTGAAAGCTGTGTCGGCCAAAAACATTTTATATTTTGTGCTAATTTCAAAAAATACTTTTAACTCTGAAATGATGTTTTACTTATAGCTTATATTTAGTTTTATAACCATAATGCTTTTGTGGAGGTACATTTTGAGTTTATTTAACGATAGGCAATCATCAAAACGTTACACTAATTTGTATTTTAAATAATATATGATTTAATGACAACTTGCTTAAGACATAGGTAGGATATGAACAACATAAGCTAATAAATAAAGCGAAAAAAAAAAATATTTTAAATTTTTATATAAATTAAAGGGTGAGCGGGGAGTAATTTAAAACACATAGACTCCGTTAAATTTTATTATTAAAATAATTGTATTGACAACTTGAACCTGTACAAGATAAAATTTACTGCACGTTACTTTAACAAGCCGTAGACTTCACACTAAAGGCCATTCAAAATCTTAAGTTTAGAGTTTTTTCATAATTAATACTGCTTTGAATCATGGCCGTAATGATGTAGACTACGTACTTTTACGTAAAATACGTATTGTAAGTTTCAAAATTTAAAACCATAATAAAATAACAAAACATCAATTTATAATTTTTTATTTCAAAACATCAGTTCATTATTTTTTACGTTATTTAAGTTTTAAAAAACCGTATTAAAATAACAAATCATCAATTCATAATTTTTTTTTTTTATTTTTTTTTATTTTAATTCACCTCCTCAAGGCCGAGACGGCCACTACAGACGAGGAGGCTACTTATTTGTGGCTATAACCCTCTCTCAACTCTATAACTCCGAAACACGAACCTTGACGAACAAGGCCGCTGCGCGGAGAAACGAGTTGAGCGCGGTACTACCAGGGACGTGGTGGGAATCGAACTCGGAACCACTCGTTTATGAAGCGAGCGCTCTACCACTACACCACTACCGCATTTTACTACTAAAAAACTATATTTGATAACTTTATAAAGAACTTTTCGCTATGCATTGTGGGATCGCCTGGGGGATAACAAAATATAAAAATCAAATTTCGCATTACAACTTTATGTAACTTATGTTTAATGTAGTTATTATTAATTTCAACTTTTAAAATTTATTAACGGATTTAAAGACAGAGTATTTTAAAGATGACTGCGAAAATTTAGTAAAGGAATGAGTTTTCTGCAAAAGGTCTAAAACTTAATAACAATGTAAATTTTTCTAAATAGAAGCTTAGTGACCTTCAATATTTTTCAAAATTATCGAAGAGTTATCATGGTTTTAGTAATTTAAATAAAGAAAAAGTATTACAAAAAGTTATTTACGTTTGGAATATTTTAAATCTCCCAGGCAATACCAGAACCCATTGCGCGCTTAGCGATTTTAAAGTTATCAAATTTCGTCTATTCTCGTTAAATTCATAAAATATGTTTTTAAGGTAAAATATTTGTAGAATAAATCTGATTTCATTAACTTTAAAAGTTTTTGAGTTTCACATCCTTAACTTAAACCTTTAGTTTATAAAGTATTTGTATATTTAGATTTGTCACGATGGCAATTTTTTAAATAATGACAAATAGTCTAAATAACGGTAATATTTAAAAAAGGATGTAAAATTATGTGTAAATAGAAAAAAGTTATATAGCCTAGTTATTTGGCAACTGAATTGTATATATAACTACAATAATTATATTTCTAATAAAAAAATTATAGATCCTTAATATTTTATTTATTAGTTTATTTTTAAGTGTTTTCCTTTACTTTTGAAACAGCCGTGCCGCAGTGGTTAAAGCGCTTGCTGCAATAATTTGAAAATTTAAATAGAAAAAGACATGAATTTCTTATGCGCGGTACTCTGTAACCGTAAGAACTTTATATAGCGCCTTATTAACGAACCAGGTAAAAAAATGAACAGCAACTACGAACTTAATATGCTTGACTCACTCTTTATTTTTCTAAAATGGATCTAATTATTTAATTTTAATACATAAAACACTTGATATAATTAAAATTAATAAAGTCAAAAAAAATAATTAAAAAATTTATAAACAATTAGTTCTTCATCTTTATAGAAATATAAATAAAATAAATAGCTAAAGAATAAAAAGTAATTTTTTTTAAACGTGGAAACTAAAGGATAAAGCAATTGGTACCAAACTATGAAATCATTTAAATAAGTAATTGAAAGTGCATCAGAGATTTCAATTATAACTGTTTTACGCTCTTTTTATAATCTTTTTACTACTTATTAGGATGACAAAAAATTGTTTTATACTTTTGAATTCATTTTTTGAATTTTCAAAATTGAAAATTTATATAATTATTATTAAAAATTACAAAGAAATAAACACTTACGGATAAGATATTTTAAATTTCTCATAGTATAATTTTACAATAGTTCTGTAATGAATGACAAAATAGTTGTCAGCGAATTTAATTATATAAATATAATGACGTAACCACTACGTCATGACATGACAGAAAAAAAAGGGAAATTCTTTATAATTTAACTTATTCATCGCCGTTAATGCACGTTCTGGAAAATACACGAAATAGCGATTAAATAAAAAGAATACGTTTAAATAAATTTTTTTAGCACAACTAAAAAATAAAAAAACTAATTATTTTTTATTTTTAATTCTTTCGTATGCCTAAAATTAAATGAAGTTAAATTTTTTTTTAATTATTTAAGTTTAGGTATAAAATTTTGCTTCATAGTTAAGGTATTATTTTTTGATATAAAATGATGTTTACCCTATACAAAGGTAAAACATTAACTAAAAACAAATAACAGTTTTAAATACGTTTTAAGTTATATATTTAATTTCTAACCAGTCGTATGTCTAAAAATATATCAAAGAGCAAAAAAAAATTAGTTTCCTAAAGTTTAAAATCTGTTTTTTCGATTTATTAAGAATGTTTTAACTAATTTAAATGTGATAAACATAAAAATTTGACATGCGACTTGTTAGACTTTAAAAGTTTATTCTTTTAAGGTTTATTTAAAAGTCTAAGCTCAAATTTCTGTAATACGCATCACCCCTATTTTGAAATGCCATAATACCATTTAATTAAAAAAACCTGGTCTTTAAATTACCAGAGATTATTGTAAATATATGTGCAAAATAGTGGAATCCCTTGATATCACAAGCAGTTTTAATAAGTAGCAATATTTAGCATTCTTTTATAGTTTAACTATGAAACGTAAAATCAAACATTAATGATATTTAATTTTATGTTGTTTTTTTTAATCTTTATTTTTTTGATCTAAAGACCTTGTGATTTTCATTTATTTGACGTCATCATGCGGCCGTGGCGCAGTGGTTAGAGCGCTTGCTTTATAAGCAGGAGATCGAGGTTCGAAACGAGCCCTGGACATATTTTTGCGTCACGTTAAGGAAGGAGGCGTGAACTTCCAGGTTAAATGCACTTCCGTGGTACTCTGTGACAAGACCTATAGGTCTTCTTGAGGCACCTAAGTAACAAAAAAAATCATGTAAATGAAAATCAAATCAAGGTTTTTTGATCAATTATATAAAAAATAAGATATTGAAAAAAATCTTTTATTTCTTATAGATTATAAACAATTTGAAAAGCAAGACCATTTTATTGTTAAGCATTTAAAGCACTACAGGAGAATTAGGTCAAAATTGTCCTAGAGGACAGAGATTACTTTTAGAAGACAGAGATTAATTTTAGAAGACATAGACTAATTTTAGAAGACAGAGATTAATTTTAGAAGACAGAAATTAATTTTAGAAGACAGAGATTAATTTTAGAAAACAGAGATTAATTTTAGAAGACAGAGTTTAATTTTATGCTGCATAACTTTATGAAAATGTTGCTTAGCAGTCTTAACTGTCAAGAATGCATTGCTTCATAAAATATTTGAAGTAGTTTTTGAAAAATTTACTGTCAAGTTTAAAAGGCTTAAGAATAAAGCTGAAAGAAGTGGAATGAATATCCAGAAAAAACTTTCATTTGTAACTAATAAAGCACTTTAAAAACTTGATTAAGATTTTCCACCATATTTACAAAGAGTAATCTACCCAATGATCCACAAAATTAAAAATTGAAACAAGGAAGAAAACATTAGTGCCTCTGCCATGACTAAGATCGCCTATGCCTAAAATTAAAAAAAACTGCAAATGCTAAAAAATGTTTGAAATTAAATTTTTTCATTTTTTTTTTTTTTTTTGATGAGCAGGAATTGCTCTGATTAAACCAAGAGGACTAAATATTTCAACAGGAGCGAGTGCTTTATCAATTTGACTGTGGATATTATCAACCTCTTGTATAATAGAATTCCCTGGTCTTAAACTTTTGTTATATTAATCTGATTTTTGAGTAACATATCACAAACCAAAAATCAACAAATAAACGCGTTCATTTTTCATCAATGATATTTTGTGTGTATTTAAATTTACAAGAATTTAACAGTCTTTCTTTTTGATTACAGATTTGCATGAAACATTTTCTTTCTTTCTATTTTTATACGGCTGATCAGATTTTCTTAGCTGCTTTCTCACATTCTGTATCCAAGTTTTAGATGGTGACTTTCGTTTCCTAGTTTTTCCTCAACGTAGGAGCAGACGATGAGCTGGTGCTATTTTAGGATTATCATCATGATAACTAAGAACAGTCAGATCAGTTTCTGAATAAAAAAAAAAAATTGAAATTATTTCCAAAATACCAAAAATAATAAGCTTTTTCTCTCCTATTCAACCAACAGGTATGAGCACGTTGATTATCTACATAATTAAAATGTGATGACTACGCTGAGCCTAAAACAAATAGTAATCAAAGCAACAATGATTTCAACAATCCTACATATTAGAAGCGTAAAAGCCTGGAGTTGATCAACCATAACTTGTCAAATTGACTAAAATAAGTATTAGAAAAATTGACTTGCCATCCTCAGAGTCCGTTATTCTGAGGCAAACTTCGTTGAGAAATAAAGAAGTAAGAAAAGTTTTACGCGATTGGCTTCAGTTTTTAAAAGAAAATGAAAGCATATGCTGTGTATCTTGCTTTTTTTTTGGAAAATTGAAGACGAGCTTGTGTGAAAAAAGAGGATTACGGATCTGGCAACGTGCCCAAACCTCTCTTAACAAACATGAGAAGACCACAAAGCACTTTCATGCCATTGCCGCATTTTTTATCTTGACGTGAAGCAGTCAAGGTAAGGATAGATTTAGAGCTCACCAAGCAATACCAGACTGAAAAAGAGTATTAGACCAAAGCTCTACAACGAACAATTGCAGTTATCAAGCATCTCTTTTCTAGGTTTGTGCAAGGTATATTGAAAATTTAAATACATAAATTTAAATTAATAGTTGTTAATACTTTATTTATAAATGATTTATTGAGCTATTAGAAAAATTTGATACTTTCCGCCCTCAACACTCAATAACTCATGGAAACAAAGTAAAGTACTTCGTACTAATCTAAAGAAATTTGTGAAAAACTCATACACTTGATAGCCGCTAAAGTTTTGGGATTTATAGGTAGGGGAGAGCGGGGTTGGTTGTCACACTTTTTACATTTTAGGCTGCTCAGCTTTTAATTTTCATCCAATCAATGCCAAACTTTGCACAAAGCTAGTTTAACTATTTCCAGTAACTATTATAATATTTTTATGACATTGAATGAAATATTTATTGCTGTAAAATCATTTTTCAAAGACCACTTCTGTGTGACAACTAGCCCCGCTCACGGGGTAGGTTGTCACATGGTGCGGGGTTGATTGTCACATTTGGATTTTGACAAGTTTAGATAAGAATTTAATGTAAAACGAGTACAAATTAATTTCGTTTATGTTTTACTAAGAAAAATAAAAATAAAATACTATAAACTGAAATATATATATTTTAAATATAACACAATTAACAAATTTAGTTTATCACTATAAATGTTTTTAGGTTTGGTTTTTTAAAAATTATTGGATAAAGAACACAATTCACAAATAAACTGTTGTAAGCCTGGTGTGCATTCTTCATGAGCCCGTTTTTGGCAAACCTGACATTGAATCCACTGTTTTCTTGATCGGCTGTTGGAAAATGATTCAAAACAATAGATGCGCTAAATATAAACAATGCACAAACAAAGCAACAGACAGTTTTACAAACTAATCAACAGCTAGTTGTTTAGTTTGTAAACAAAACAATAAACAGTTGAACTTCTGCAATCCTTTTTCTATAATTATACTAAACATTGGATCGGAATCTAAAGTTATGCACGTTGAAATAAAAATAATTTAGATTACAGATATTTAGTTAAACAAATATAACACTTTGACTTTAGATTTTTAAATAATATCTTAAACATTAAAATATTCTTCAATAATGCGGAAAATAAACAAAGCCAATAAAAAATCTGCAAGCGGAGTTTAATTTGCAGCGCATGGAGTCGAGGCAAGTGTGACAACCATCCCCATATATTTTGTGACAAGCAACCCCTTCTGAGTAAGTTGCTGGACACCTGTACATTTACTTAAAAGCGTGAGAATTTCATGATAATTTTTTACGGATTAAGTTACTCAAATGAATAAAGTACTTTATAAATCTACATTCAAAACACAATAAAATAATTTTCGTTTGGTAAAAGAAAATTTCTGAGTAAGCGAAATTTTACTTTTTCATATCAAAAACCTTTAAAAACGAATAACTTTTCTTCTGCACGCTAAAAAAAGATAAAAATTACTGTAAAAATGTTTTTTTTATATAACATTTCCATTGCATAATTTGAAATTTCTATATCTTATTTACATTTCCTGTAATAAACTTTGTGACAACCAACCCGCGTGACAACCAACCCCGCTCTCCCCTATATAATATGACCATCCTTAAGTAACATGTTTTAGTATACATTTTTTATTTACTTCAAATATAATTTCTTAGTTAGCAAATTCAAGTTTGCAAAATATTTTTCAATCATTGTTAATTCTATTCCACATGTGTTGCATCGATCAACTCTGCTATATTCTGCTTTATGTGTTGAAAACGGAGAACCAGTTGAGCGGTTCTTAGCATTCATTTCCATGCATAATAATCGTTAAGCAGTTTTCATGCTTGAAATTGTTTTAAAAAAGTTAGATTTGGATGAGATTAACATTCAAAATTGCTGTAGCTAGTCATACAACAGTTTCAGTAATATATCTGGAATCTACTTTGGTTTACAAGCAAGAATTATAATCCGAATACATTTTATGTATTGTTCGCTTTTGGACGGAATCCAATTCTTGGACGGAAGACGAAGCTGATGTTAATTTCTTAAATTTTTTTCAAGAAATTTATAACTTCTTTTCTGCTTTAACGCATCAATGGGATGTCTTAAAATCAAAGTTCTCTGCTGGAGAACGTTTTAAGGTTCCCCAAGACTCTCTCAAAAACTCGTTGATCAGCTCGTGCTGATGCTTGTTTTGCCATTGAAAAGAGTTGTTC